CAGGAGAGAGTGAGAAAGAAACCCAAGTATGCACCACCTCAATTCTATCTGGTATAAGAGTGGGAGGGAGAGATAACTTAGATAAGGCTTCCAAGATCCTGTTATTAACAACAAAACCAGTAGTTTTTAGAATGTCTATTTCATGAGCTGGCCTCCACAAATATGACAACCACATTGGGTATTTTTATGTAGGCCTATCATGTTGCTGCTTTCATCAACAATAAAATTTAAAAAACAATAAAATTTAATCCAATTATTTGGCAAGTGAAAATTGTCTTACCCAGATTCTGAAGCACCTGATCTCTTTCAAGCTGTGTGTCTCGAATTTTGTGCTGCAACATCATTAGCTTTTCTTCATACTGCCTTTTCAAAGTCTGAAGCCTTCGTTGGCTATTCTCTAGTTCGTCAATGAGCTTCTGTTTTATGGCAATTTCACATGTAATGTTTGCTAAATCTGCCTGATAATTCACTATAATTAAAGAAATTAAAAGCAATAAAAAGATGTAAAGCATTGCGGCACTCAAAAACTAGCTATTTAATAGAACTTTGATCCAAAATTCAGATTTGTTTGGTGCCCCAAACTGTTGGTATATCTACATTAAGTATTTCCAATATATTTACATTACCATTTTTCTCTAGATAAGACTATTCATATTATAGTCCTTTAATAGGAAGAACTGATGGCTCTTGCATTAAAGCTTGATTTAGTCCTTGTTACTTATTCATTAGCAAATCTTATTTTTAGCATACATTTTTAATAAAGTTGCAATTAAAGTTCGTGCTTACAACTAAGAAATCTTCATCTGGGGTGCATGATTTACTAATGACCTATTCCCTAAAAATAAGCCTATCGTTTTAAAGTTAAATGTTTCTTCTTTTCAAAACACATTAAATTTTTATATTTATATTATAAATCTGAAATCCAAAAGTAAACTGATGGTTAATTTAAAAGCAGAAAAGCTTTTTAAAGCCTCTAATGTCTCATTGAAATGTTTATAACCATAGGGATTTACTGGTCATAATATGTCATCTAATCATAAACTCTTCATGAAATACGTATTAAATGTAATCTCTGGACTGCTTGTCTTAATTTTGAAATACCTATTTGTATGAAAGAAGGTAACGATAACACATTAAGTATATCTATCCCTCTGTCTAGCTTACCTTTTTCATCAGAATCCGAATCGGATTCATCTGAACTTTCAACCACCTCCAAATCTTCATCTTCATCTTCTTCTTCCTCGTCATCCTCATTATCGCTGTGCTCATGTCCATCTTCCTACAAGAATTTAAAAAAGAATCAAAAACAGGAACTCCCTCACTGTTTTCTCATTTTTAAGCATAATTTTAATTTGATCCCAGAACAAATTATATGCATAGCCTCTCAATATTAAGCTACATTATGAAGAAAATAATACGCCTCATGGTCCTTTATTTATATGCATGTCCTTTCTCTTACTCATTTCTGTTAAAAACATGATTACAAGACAGAAATTGTATTTTCTCTGTCTGCTTTAATAAAGGATCCTATAGAACACAAGCCTCATTATTTATACATGACAAGATGTATTACCACAATACTTACTGCTTCTAGGTCATTACTCTCTCTTTCAGAAATGCCCTTTTCGTCTTTTTTTTCCTGTTCATTATCTGTGTTTTCTTCTTTAACCGCACTATGAGAAAAAATTCAAAGGGGAGGAGGCATTTAACAATTGGAAGCATATGTTTTCCCCCCTTAAGTCAAACAACTTTGCTAAAGAATAACAATTTAAATGCTGCACAAAAGTTTTGCAAGATCAAAAATCATAAAAAATTCAACGCCAGACTCAACTCTGCATTCCATGCACAACACAGCATTCAGGGGGGGGGGGGGGGGGGAGAAGAGATTCAGAAAGAAAGTTAGCACAGTAACCCAGAAACGAAAAATGGGACCGCATAGCCAAACCTTTACAGAAATATAGATAAGATCCATTAGAAAGTCTGCAGAGTGAGTCTGCCTATTTCATGACAGAGCAGTGTAAGGTAAGCTGGATGTAAAGCTAGAACCACAGGGGGGAAAAAACCCGAAGAAACCCCTATATTTATGTACATATAATAATATGTACAATCATAAAGTTAATACCGTGTTTCTCCAACAATACGACCTCCCCCAATAGGAAGACCCAGCATGTTTTCTAGGCATAAAATCAAATTAAGCCCCTACCCCCAAATTTAGGCCTATTTTAAAACATGCAAAATGGAGGGAAGGGCGGGGGGACTTGCCGTTAGGAGCGCCCCGTGGGCAGCAATTCCTCGCCATCAGCTGCTCCTAATGGGCGATCATGGCAGAGCGCGGAGAGCTCCCTACTCCTGCCAAGCACCTTTGCGGCAGACCCAAGACCTTCAGCGCCCACCGCTGTTGATTTCCCTTCTGCCCATGCCGCCGTTTGGAGCTGCCACTTCCACGTTTGGAGCACCACTGCTGTTTGGAGCACCGCTGTCGTTTGGAGCTGCCGCTTCTGCATTTGGAGCTGCCACTGTGTTTGGAGCTGCCGCTTCTGCATTTGGAGCTGCCGCTTCTGCATTTGGAGCTGCCGCTGCATTTGGAACTGCTGCTTCCACGTTTGGAGCGCTGCCACTGTTTGGAGCACTGCTGCTGTTTGGAGCTGCCGCTTCCGCATTTGGAGCTGCCGCCGCGTTTGGATCTGCCGCTTCCACGTTTGGAACCCCACTGCTGTTTAGAGCACTGCCGCTGTTTGGAGTTGCCATGTTCACATTTGGAGCTGCCGCCGCGTTTGGAGCTGCCGCTTCCGCGTTTGGAGCACTGCCACTGTTTGGAGCACCACCACCATTTGGAGCGCCGCCGCCACTCCAAACACGGCGGCAGCTCCAAACGCGGAAGTGGCAGCTCCAAACATGACGGCAGTGCTCCAAATGGCGGCGGCACTCCAAATGGCAGCAGCACTCCAAACACGGATGCAGCAGCTCCAAACGTGGCGGCGGAATGGGCAGAAGGGAAAGCAACAGCGGCGGGTGCCAAAGGTCTTGGGTCTGCAGCAAAGGTGTTTGGTGGGAGTAGGGAGCTCTCTGTGCTTCGCCATGATCACCCGTTAGGAGCGGCTGGTGGCGAGGCTGCCCGCGAGGCGCTCTAGATGAGGATGCAAGGGGGGGAATTAAGTCACTCCCGAAAAGACGGCCTAGCTGTTTTTTCGGGGCTCAAAAAAATATAAGACCCGGCCTTATTTTATGAGAAACACGGTACTTTAAAAAGCAGAAGAAAAAATGCACAAAAATACAAAACTGCCTTCAAGACCAAACTTAATCTTGAAAGAAGGCAATTGCAACGTTTAAGTATGTGAAAATAAAAAAAGGAAAAAGGTGCAGGGAATGTGGTTACTATAATGCATGAAATAACATCTTAATAAATCCCACTGTGTTAAATGGAGTTCAACTCCTAGAAATGGAATTTAGAACTGCACCCTCAATCTGGAGTTTTTTTTTTTTTAAAAAAACTACTATATTTTAGATAAGTTGCCGGAAATAAATTCCCTGTTAAAATTTTCCTTTTACTTCTTTGAAACCGAAGTAGTGCTTCTTGAAATTTGAATGACTATAATAAAAGACTACCCATGTATTTAATTTTTTTTATATTTGATATGACTGTGCATAATTTTGTTTTATCGATTTGTTTCAAAATACATTTGGTTGAATCTACATTCAAATAAGACTTTCCATATGAAATCATATGCCTCCAATTAGTTTTGATCCAGGCATGATATTCCCCTCTGAAAAAAAAATCGGGGCCGGCCAAAAGAGACCCCCCACCGCCCGCGCCGCCCGCCCACCCGCCCGCCCGGGCTCAGCTCGCGCCGCCAGCCGCCCGGGCTCAGCTCGCGCCACCCGCCGCTCGCGCTGCCGCCCGCCCAAAAATCAGAATTCCGATTTTAATCGGAAAAATATCGTGTCTGTTTTTATCACTCAGTAAAAATTTTGTGCTGTACAAAATCCTTTCTAAAACCAGTCTCAAAAATAAATCAATCCAATCATTTTAGATGAGTCAAAATTGAACTGAACAGATATCTCAAATCAATTCTGCACATTTTCAGTTGCCTAACATAGTATGAAATGTTTATCCTACGTTTCTTGCAAAATAGCTTACTGATCTAAAAGTATGACTATTTCTTTTATTTCAACCTCAGTCCTATTCTAACTAATACCTCCAGTAGTTATTCTGAAACATATTTTTTTTAATCAACCATTTCAAACGAACACAATTCATCTGGATTCAAGAGTTTGGGATGGATAATTTTTCTCCTTCCCTACTCTCCCTTTTTTTCCGGCCGCCAACAGCAGACTTTGTAAAATTCTAATAGAAACATGGAAACATTGAAAAATGGATACATTGAAAAAATAAGCATTGCTACAAAATTTAAATTAGCAGAATAACGAAAATTATAATGAAGGTATACTATTGGTTGACCACAGCCAATTCACTTTTAAAGTTAAATTACTACTAAACATCAAGTTTTCTCAGCTAATCTTTTCTGAAGAGCAGAATACCCCAAATATGTCTTTTCATCAAATCAAGTTGGATTTCAGATGGAGGAAAACCTGATTGGTGATTCAATCAATCTGACTTTGAAACACGTTGTTAAAATGAAATTAGCATGCACAACGGTAAGTTAGTTCGCAAAGTACTCTCTATGTTGGAAATTCCAATTGTGAACTGGGATAAATCTAGGCTTTAGCAGCCCTTGTGATACTGGACAAGATATAACAAAAGGAACGAGCACAGTCCAGCAAGACACATGATTAATGACGTTAAAAACAGCTAAGACATCATGGAAGGCCAAGATGGATGCACTACCCCCAAACTCTGTTAAAATGTGATCAAGTTGTTTCAGTACTACCAGTAAGGCTCAGCTGAAAAAGACCGGATAATTCACTTCTCAAGCTGTAAGCCAGGAGTGTCAAACTCATGTTGTCATCACAACGTATTACAACTTCCCCCCCTTCGCTAAACTGGGGGTCGGCGTGGCCAGTATGTGACGTATCTGGCCTGCAGGGCACGGGTTTGACACCCTGCTGTAGGCCAATCACCTTTCCAACAACCAAAAAGTTGTTTCCCAAAAAGCTTAGAGACCAGATGAAAGTTGTCCAACTCCATTGTGTTCAGTGATAGCTTCTTCAAGAACACATTGATGAACATATTATTCAAAGTAGGTAGCACTACCACCTCCCACAAGATACTTTAACCACTGCATGCACCAAACATGTCACCTCCCAGGAGGCTTTAATAAATCATAAAGGGCAAGAATCTAAAACACAGGCATTGAATATACAGCTCCAAAGACCCAAGTTCAAATTCTTTCCAGATAACCAAGGAAACCAATCCCTCAGGCAACTCCACAGGAGCTGTACAAATAGATCCAATTCCAAGCAATTTTATTCAGCAGATGTTTAGAGTAATTCCCGCAGAAGCCCTTTAAATTATATGGGATGAAAGGGATAAGAGATAGCCATCTTTTTGCTAGTCTGTCCTGTACAAACTGTCCTCTGTAATGTACAAGGGCAGGTAGATAACTCCACAAAGCATCCATACAAAGTCTTTTTATTGGTTCATCAGGCATTCTCAGCAACTTACAGTTATGACAAGATTCTTCTTAATGTCCAATCCTTTGCATATCTGACTTTCTGGGTAAAAAGATGGTTATCTCTTATCCCTTTCATCCCATATCGTAGAAGCAGGGGGTAGAGATGCTACCATGAGGCTGTGTTCAGGCAAGAGTGAAGTAACCTCCCCCAACCCACCAAGGGTCAATTCAGTGACCAATCAGGGTTACAGATGGGGCCACATGACATGAACTACATTTCCCAGGATACCTTAACTACATTTACCATGATACATTCCCTTAAGGGGACAGCTCTCAATTCCTAACTAACTATCCAATTCCCATTAACTATAACAGGCTGGACAGCACAATTGCTATGGACCCTCCTTATCTTTAAGGCGGGATACAAAAACACAGTTTGTCTGTATGAAATAGAAATCCACTTGCTGACGAAAGCTGCATATTACAATGCAATGAATGGCGACAATGAAAGAAATAGGGTTTGGGGGGGAAATTGTACCATTTTGAACAAAAAGAATCCAGAGGAAAAACCTATTCTGATGTATTCTCTTCATGGTGTCATGAATGGATATGCAGAAAAAAACATAGAACAATAGAGTTGGAAGAGACCTTGGAGGTCTTCTTCGAACCCCCTAATCAAGCAGAAGACCCCACACCTTTTCAGACAAAAGGTTGTCTAGTCTCTTTTGGAAAGCTTCCAATGATGGAGCATCCACAACTTCTGAAAGCAAGCTAGTCCATTGGTTGAAATTTCTCCTGAGTTCTAGGTTGTTTCCAATCATTGTTTCTTGTCTTGCCTTTTGGTGCTCTGGAAAATAGGTTGACCCTTCGTCTTTGTACCAGCCCCTCCAATATTGGAACAGTGCAATCATGTCGCACTTAGTCCTTCTTTTCATTAGACTAGACATACCCAATTCCTGTAACCATTCTTTATATTTTGTAGCCTCCAGCCCCCTATCATTTTTGTTGTTCTTCTCTGCACTCTTTCCAGAGTCTCAACATCTTTTTAATATTGTGTTGATCAGAACTGGATGCAATATTTCAAGTGTGTCTTACTACTACCTTCTAATCATTGTGCCACCACAGCTCCTGAATGAAAGTGCATGACTTGATTTAATTGCTTATGATGAAAGATTAAGATAGCTACAAAGAGGGATTAAGAGACTTTGAATAAAGACAAATCATTATTTGATAATGTCAACAGTAATCTGGAGAAAAATAGACACGAGAGTAAAGAATATATGCGGGGGGAGGGGAAACCCTATAGCAAAGCTAGAATGATTGCAGGAAGTTTAGAGTATGACTCCTGTATTATTAAATCAGTGTTGGTTGGGGATATGATGCTATCTTGTTGGTTGAAAACCTGAATTACTAAATTACTGCAGACAACAGGAAAAATATAGGATTAATGAGTTTGATCTGACCATTCATATACCAAAAACCAAGGTGGTTTTGCTTTACAAATAAAAAGAATGAATTATCATGCTTTACATAAATGAAAAACAAGACCAAATGGATGAGTTGCAAAGCTTTGTAGAATGTTTACTAAAGATGGGAAAAGGGATAAACAAATTTGAAGATATGCAGATATTTCTAAAACAACAGTGAGTAGTATCTGGTCTGTTGAAAGGAATGTTTGTCAAAAGAAAAAAGATAGGAATGTGCAAGAGCCATATTAAGAGGTATGTTGAAGTGGTTTAATGAGATAGAGAATTTTCCTCTACTGGTTACAGAGAATAAATGAGGACACAATTGCAAAATAGGTGAAAAAACATTGAAAGGATGAAGAGGAAGGAGAAGACTGAGAAAGTTATGTGTGTATACAGATCAAATCAAATTTAAAAAAATAATTCCACAGTCCAAGAAAGGAGTTGATGAGGTCCAAAAAATAAACAAAGTGAAAAAATTTAACAATAGGCAATATATGAAGTAGTATATGGATATAGCTTGGGAAAAGATGGTTACAAGTAAAAAAAGGTCAGAGAACTATAGTGAACAGTGCTGATGTAAAATATATCTAGCCATATTCCTTTTTCTCACCACACATCTTAATTTTCTGAGGTAATCCTTGCCTGCTTTATATAATGAAAACTAAAATTAGCAAGTTTGTTTCTGAAAAGGTATTATTTTTGAGAATTTAGGAACATCAAAGAAAATGCTATGCGAAGTATTTCTCAATTTGTAAACTTTTTTTAAAAAAAATCTAATTATTAATTATATGATTCAAGTAATCATTTATATTCAAAAGTACATCATTTTTTAAAAAGATGCTTTATACCACCTATTTATAGGCTCAAAATCAAAATGATAGTTTGTAACTTTTAAAATTTAAATCAAGTACTCAATTTAAAGGATTTCAAATTTGAATTTTTGCAGATTTTAGATGAAATATTTCATACTTCTGCATAAAATCCATTCCTCATTTCACAGATGCATAAAACACATAAAATATAAATGTATAAAATCCACTCATCATTGTAGTAAATAGAAATCCTTGGACAGATAACTTTCCTCCATATTACTCTAAATTAATCTATTTAAGCAGTAATGAATAACTCAATAATTTTTATAACCTAATTAATACAGTATTTGTTACTGGGGGGAGGGTATTCTCACCACAGAATACCACCAATTATAATCTAATACCGTGCTATCCTAAATACTATCCAGACCAGTGGTGGGATTCAAATATTTTTGCCACCCGTTCGGTGGGTGTGGCTTGGTGGGCGCACTTTGTGTGCACGTGCACACCAAACCCGCTATTTGCGCAAGCACAGAGGCGTTCTAACTCGCCTCCTGCAAGCCTGTACGATCCCGGTCGCTTCAGCAGCTGCCGCGCAGCGCTATTCTGTGCCGCGCAAAGCAGCTGCACTTCAAATTCAGAGGATAAAGGTGAGTATGGGAGCCCAGGCGGGCGGATGGGCCCCAACAGCAGAGCAGCGGAGAGAACGGGTTCAGTCTCTGCTGCTCATTGCTGCAATTGGCTCACCAAAACTGTGCCGAACCGGTAGAATACCACCACTGATCCAGACCTCTATGCAAATATGAAATTTGGAAGATAAAATCTTTTCAACCAAGAAAATGTGTAATCCATATTTTGCTATCTGCCCTCCCCTTGTCTTTCAGGTTTTAATGTTTTTATACCTCGGTAACAGACATAAATTCATTATTTGCTTCAAAAAGTAGGAAGTATCAATTGATCCCAGCTGTTTTAGAATGGTAGAAGAAAGTTGATACAACACTGCTCTTTGTAAGATTTCTTTCTGGGTTTCCAGTTTATTACTGAAATAACATAAAATAAGCAAATGGACGGGGGCAAAATCATTGCGATTTGTGATCTCTAGGTGATTCCACCCTACAGTCCAAACCCCATGATCATTTTTAGGAGTCTCTTGCCCTCAAGAGCAGATTGATAAGGAAACAGGGGACTGCAATGAATGAGAAGCTGCATCCTGTTGAATGAATACAGTTCAACTTGTTATATTCTGGATCCAAGCCCATTTGTAGTATAGAAAGTTAATTGTCTATTGAGATTCTCGGTCATCCAGGTCACAGTTGTCCCAAAAGTGCTTTTTCAAGAGGCAACTGAAATTTCTTGTTTTCCTTTGAAGATGTTTCACTTCTCAACCAAGAACTTCAGCTCTGACTGGATGGTGGTGAATGGAAGGATTTATACTCCTTGCAGACAGCTGGTCATTTGCATTCTTTTTGCAAGTCATTAAGGCCACCTGGAAGGCCATAAGGACTTGCTAAAAGAATGCAAATGGTCTGCAAGGAGTACAAATCCTTCCATTCTCCACCATCTAGTCGGAGCTGAAGAAGCTTTTTGGATGAGAAGTGAAATGTCTTCAAAGAAAAACCAGAAAGTCCAGTTGCCTCTTGAAAAAGTACCTTTGGGACTATAGAAAGTTACGTTCTCATGTAGATAAAAACACATGACTCCAACTTAACGCAGATCATACTGAAAATGGTTATTTGCTAAGGAAGTTAAATATTGATGAAAGAGTACTTCGTTTTTAAATTTTAACTTCAGGATTCATTTGTGGTAAGTGCTCAAGAAAAAAAAAATCTGTTACCGACAGCCACGTTGCTGTTAGAGCAATATGTTTGCAAACTGCTGTACCTACTGAAATGGGTTTTAGTTTACACCAGCCTCCTTTAAACTGCTCTGGTTAACTTCAATCCCAGATATACACTTTTTTTGGTGGGGGAGGGGGAGGCGAAGGTAGTAATTTAACAACAAGGAAAAGGATTAGTCCAGCAAAAAAAATTTCATACAATGAAACTTTTTTTGCTAGATCTATGTAGAACTAGATATGTCTACATGTGATCCAAACATTAGTTTTCAAATGACAATCAAAAACCTGGGAAACATTCCAACCTTCGTTCTTCTTGACTGCTTTCCTCAAGTTTCTGCAGCCTTCAAAAGCACCAGGTACAGATTGGAAGACCAAGCCAATGAAGGACAAACCAGACAGTGAAAGGGAAAGCAACAAGAAGGTAAACAAAAACAATGACATATGAGCTCATGGATTTCAAAGTATTTTTTTTTAAAAAAAGATGATTAAAAAAAAACATAAATAGTAAAAAAAAAAAGGCAATTCATTCATTACAAAATAATAATAGCCATGCTGGGAGTAATGAGAATTGCACTTCAATATCCAACCTGGGAAGACTGCCCACACCAGGGGTGTCAAACTCGCAGCCCAAATGCGTCATGCACTGGCCACACCCATCCGTTTTAGCAAAGGGGGGGAAGGCGCGATATGTCATGTGACGACAATGTAATGCTACGAGTATGACACCCCTGGCATACACCTTTAATACTGCAATGTAAGGGAGCCAGATAAGCTTCCTAGCCTGTCAAATTCAGTTCAATTATTTTTAATTTATTAAAGCTTAAATTGACTCCCATTTATTTTCCAAGTTTATTTATAAGTTTGCAGTGTTTTTTTTTTTTTTTCAAAATAAAAAACTAAAAAAGAACTCCTTTTCTGGGATCATATTTTTGCAAGTCATTTTATCCAGGTTATGTTTTTGAATGTTACTTCAATATTCTGGTGTGTACTTTCTCTACATTTTTGCAAGCATTAATTTTTTAAAAATCAAAATAGGTTATAATTCCCAAACTGGATTGGAAATGTAAAAAAGATGAATCTCTTTCTTTCCTGTTCCTACTCTTTGTAATCATTTGTTTTCCATAGATCAGCAAATAATTTTAACATGAGTCAGGGCCTTATTTAAAACCTTATCATCAGGCTGCTTGGACATCCTAATAAAACCATGGTTTACCATTTTAGCAGTACAAGAACCACCCTATTATGGATATAAGAAAGGTGTTAAGAGAAACGTTTTAATTTTTTTGAAATTTGTTTTTAATGTATTCTGAATGCAATGTTTCCTTTTGCTCCTTGCAGAAATTCCTACTTAATCATAATTCTATTACATCAATATAGAAGAAACAAAAGTATCTTTAGGAGAAAATCTTCAGAAAAGCTTGAGCCTTTAAATGAAAGATAGCATATTTTAAATATTCCATGAGAAAATCAATTGTTTATATTTTGCAATAGTAAAATAATGTTTTACAATTCAGTATGCCAATTATTTCTTCAGAAGCAAAAAGAAAAGAAAAAAGAAAAAAGAGAGAGGAAGAAAGGGATGAGGAATGCTTAGAAATGATTGCAGAATATGGTTTATGTTGAAACTGAAACTATGAAGTGAGATGAAGACATTACTGAAATACATAGTAAATAAAGGCAACTGTCAAATTATATTGACTTAGTTGAATAAAGGACCGTGGCTATTTTTGAACTAATTTACCAAATCCATAAAGCTTATACATTTATATATATAAGATAATTATTTTACTGAAGAAACATAAAACCTTTGTTTTATTTCTAGCTAAATATTGCTTAAAAGCCTTTAGTAGATAATATCACCTACTCCAGTTTGCCTGATTTTAAGAATCTATGAGAACTAATCTGATGTAGGTTAGAAACTGGAAGACCGTGAGGTCTAGTCCCACCTTAGGTATAAAGCCAGCTGCGTGATTCTTGATTTATCACTTTGTCAGAGCCTTAGAAAGGAGGCTATGCCAAATCATATCTGAAAAACCTTGCTGAGAAAACTGCAAGGTCTTGAGAATCAAATACAATCAGACACAACTAAATGGAAGAGAATCAGAGTTGATTAAATTTACTGTAAACGGAAGGATGACACGTAAGAGCAGAGAAAAAGTAATTGACAACCTAAAGTACCATATGCCTTTGAAAGCCTTGGATGTACCCCAAGAATTTTCCCAAAATTGCTATCAAAATTGGAAATACTAAACATATTCTGAAATGGGACAGTAGGGATGCAAAAATTAGACATTACAGGAAGTTTCAGAGGAATAGAATATTCCCATTTTGGGAACAGTTGGTTTCAGACAACAGTGCTGGATGGTAATCCTATTAATTTATTATTATTACAGCTGCATTTAGCTAGGGTTTCCTTCTGGCTACTTGCATATCCACGCAGAATCCCAAACAAATGCTTTGGCTTAATTTTTATAAGGACAAGCTGGAAGTAGAGTATAGTTGAGTTTCTCACTGGAAGTGTTCCTCATAAGTGGGAAGCAGATGCTACGAGTTGGCAGTGGAGGTATAGTCTTAAATTACTGTAAAAACTATGGGAATGAGAACTGGGAAGAGAGGACAGAAATGTAATGGTTGAGACAAATATTATGCTAGACAGCTCCAGCTAATGAAGATTTACGGTTTTGATATATAAAGGTGTGAACTGATAAACCTAAATTGGATCGGCACTGTTTATCCTTCTGAATATTCATTAGTTTGAAGGCAAATCTGGAGGAGATTGATGAAGAGTTTTGGGGCATGGTCCAGAGAAATATTCTGAAAATTCAAAGACCATCATAAAATGTAGTCTACATTGTGCAGATGATTCCCCCAAGGAATGAAAAAGAGTAAAGGTTTTTATCCACTTAGAAATAAGCCAGCAGGCAGTCTGACTGCAAGGAGTCTTTACGTTCTAAATTAGGTAGTAGATAGAATGAAGATATAAAGCAATGGACAGATGCATTAAGCTAACATTAGAGACCACATAAGTATCTGGATAAGAAAAACAGACTATAAAATATTAATCAGCAAAAATAACCCCTCCATTGTTCCCTTTTGACTCAAAATGGGGAGAATACTAATTCTTGTTACAGAATATAGCTGGAATATCAAAACTAAATGCTAAACAAATATTTGTTTTTAATGTCTCATTGTTTGAATAAAAGGGAAAAAAAATCTGCAATAGTGTTCTGTATAGAGCTTCTACCAAATCCTGAGAGCCCAAAGAAAGTCCTAGTCACATTTAATTAAGTTTGAGTGTAAATAAAATGCAATCAAGTTTAGTGTTTGTCGTAGGGCCACTTTTGGAAAAGAAGCCCCTTAAAGCCTTAATTCAAAAGCTAAGAGTGGTTCTCAGTTTATAAAGAACAATATATATACTTTTGACGAACCGGTATTTATGCATAATCTTTCCTAGATCCTTGATTATATAATAATTCAGTATTATTTGTCTTTAAGATGTTATTGGAATGGTAAAATAATACAAACATAAAGCAACATGAAATGAAAAGACACAACAAGGCAGATATAAGCTGAGTATGAAAAAAAAAATCAAATATGCCAATCTCAACATTAAAGGAAACCCTAATCAGTGTGTAAATCTAGCATGTAAATTATGGTTGTGATTCCATGACACATTACAGTACTTCGTGGTGTACTTAAATGAATTAGCCCAACTGAATTAGCCCAACTGCCTGGGTTCACAAGACTCAACCATAAACTAACCATTTTGGATAAGTTCCCATGATACACTTCACCACAAACTAGATAAGCATCTTATGCAAATTTAGCCTGTGCAGTGTTATGTATTTTATTTTCAAATTTAAATTCAAAGAAGTTGTTCTGATTTAAATGTAACGTCAAGAATGTTACTCACTACTGTCTTATAAATATAAGAATTGTGCGCCAGACTCATTGTATTACTGATCATCAAATAAAGCCTTTGCTTGTTTGCAAGATGGATGGCGGGATTCATATACTCAATACTCCAATTGAAGATTGCAACTAGTTAAGAAGCATTTAATGTTCGGTTTTAACTTCTACCTCTTTTTCTTCTTCCTTTCCTTTTTCTTCAGTTTTTCTAAATCTTTTTTAGCTATATCCAGGATTTCAATCGTCTCCTGATCAGAGGGAAGCATCGAAGCAGAAAATGCTGAGCTTCCACCAAAGTATGTTGACCTTGTCGAAGCTCTTGATAAGTTGCGCCGAAGGTTTTCATTCACTGCTTCACTTTCAAATAGCTTAGCTCTTGAAGAGGAAAAATATATTGAGAAGAAAAACTCAAAAAATGAATGAACTACAATTTAGTGTTACAATGTATACTACATTTTACCAACATCTTACTAGCCACAGATTATTAAATAAATCAGCCTACTTCCTAAACAAGAGTTTAGACTGCCACAATTTGTCTGGATTTAAATATTATGCCTTTCTAATGAAAAAGAAACCATGCTGGCTGTGAACTCTGGAACTTGTCATCCAGGACCTGGAGCTATTGAAGTCACTGTCTCAAAAATAATTTTTTTTTAGCTACAATCCTTTATATTCTAATCATACACAACCAAGCCAAAAATTATAACAATATCAGAATACTACCTGAGATCCTCAATTTCCTTGATATAGTTATGAATCATATTACTGATTTCTTCATTACCTTCTCCTGTAGGAAGAAGAACAGGATTCTAAGTTGAATACTAGATGGACACAAAGTACATGGTTACACACAAAGCACGTGGTTTTTAAATGTACTGTCCTTGCACAAGATATCAAAACATTTAAATAAACCAGTCTGAAGTTTCACAGAATTATTGGGTTTGAAGGGACCTTCCGGTTCAACCCCAGCTCAAGGGCAGCAGCCTTATGCCATCCCAGTCAAATGGTTGTCCAATCTGTTTTTGAAAACCTCCAGTGATTGAGCACCCACAATTATGGGAAGCAAATTATTCTTCCGATTAATTATTCTCATTGTCAGAAAATTCTTCTTACTTCTAGGTTGGATCTCTCTTTAACAAGCTTCCTCCCATTACTTCTTGTCCTGCCCCACTGGTGCTTTGGAAAATAAGTCAATCTCCTCTTCTCTGGGACAGCCCCTCAAGTACTGGAAGACAATTATCATGTACCCCTTAATCCTTCTGTGTGATAGGCTAGACATAAGCAACTCCCTCAACCGTCCAATCATACAATTTAGCCACCAGGGTCCTTATCACCTTCGTTGCTCTTCTCTGTACCTTTTCTAGGGTCTCAACATACCACGATAACCAGAACTGGATGCAGTATTCCAAGTGTGGCCTCACCAGTGCAGTATAAAGCAGTATTATCACTTCACATGATCTTGATACTATCCCTCTGTTGACGCAGCCCAGGACAGCATTGGCTCTTTTGGTAGATGCAACATACTACTGGTTCATCCGTAGGTGGGGGTCCACTAGGACAACTAGATCCCTCTCTCAGTTACTAGCTCTTTGTAAGGTAAAGGTTCCCCTGCACATATGTGCTAGTTGTTCGTGACTCTAGGGGGTGGTGCTCATCTCCATTTCAAAGCCGAAGAGTAGCGCTATCCAAAGACGTCTCCGTGGTCATGTGGCCGGCATGACTAAACGCCAAAGGCGCATGGAACGTTGTTATCTTCCCACCAAAGTGGTCCCTATTTTTCTACTTGCATTTTTACATGCTTTCGAACTGCTAGGTTGGCAGAAGCTGGGACAAGTAACGGGAGCTCACTCCATTATGCAGCACTAGGGATTCGAACCGTGGAACTGCCGACCTTTCTGATCGACAAGTTCAGCATCTTAGCCACCGTTTTCCTCGTTACTAGCTCTTTGTACTACCACACAATTTTGGCATCCTTCAAATCAAACTGGTGTTTCTCAATCTTGGCCGCTGGGGAATTCTGGGCGTTGAAGTCTACCTATCTTAAAGTGGCCAAGATTAAGAAACACTGATTTAGACTATCACACCTGCTATTTGCACTGGAAAGAAAATTCCACTGGTCCAAATGGGAGCTTTCCAATCTTAACAGACCATGTGGTGTAAGGCAGGGGTGTCAAACTTGATTTCATTGATGGTCACATCAGGTTTGTGTTTGATCTTGGGGGCTGGGAGGGGCATGGCCAGGATGGGCGTGGCCAGCTTGATGTCACTTGTCTCAGGGGCGCCTGTGGTGGCATGAACACTCTGCCAGTGAAAATGGGCTCCCGAGCTCCGTTTCCAGATACGATGGCCTCTTGCAACACTTTGCCAGCGAAAATGGAGCTCAGGAAGGCCACACGCAGCCATCCCAAGTACCGTTTTCAGTGGCAGAGAATGTGCCGGTCCTTTGCTGTTTCCAGGGTGGCTCTGCAAGCCAGATCTAAGCACCCCATGGGCCAGATCCAGCCTGTGGGCCTTGAGTTTGACACTCCTGGTGTAAAGGATAAGAATACCTCCTGTCTTCCCTAGAATCTCAGCTTCAGCACTCCCTCCCATGTTAGCTGTTTACCTTAAAAACAACATTCACATAGTTGCTAATTGCAGGGAAGGCTCGCCTCTAATTTTTTTCTTTTTTCTAGCAGACAACCAGAACTTCTTACAGACCTTAATTCATACAGCAATTTAAGTGATAAAAGTACACATTACCTGCTCTAGCAAGGACCTGGTTGGCCTGATCACTGGCAAGCTGTGTGATTCGAGCTCTCAAAGCATCGATAGTCTCTTGCATTGCCTTTATCCTAACTCGCAGATTGTTGTTCTCTGTTTGCAGCATGGCGTTTTCATGAAACATGTCATTAATACTTTCCACACCTTCCTCATCAATAATCCTTTTACCCTTTAAAAAAAAAAAAAAAGGAAACAATGTCTTTGCCCAGAGCTAATCTCAACAAAAATCTCTTCTGAAAAACAGAAAAATTGTCAATGTAGCATCTTACCTAGTTCTGAACAATGAATGAGTTTGTTTGGAATAAAATTATATTAAAACGTTTCACATATGCTTCAAATGTGTTCAAATACCCTTACATGATACGGAAAGACCTCAAATGGTAATTGGTAGTAGAATTTCCATCCACCAATCATAAAGCACAACATCATAGGATTGCATTGCTTAGCAATGGCAATTTTGGCAGTCTCATTTCCATCCTTGAGTGAGAATTGTGGGCCGTTAAGTGAGGACCTCACATGACCACAATTTGCCGTTTCCTGCCAACTTCAAAGTCAATGAGGAAGCCAGCAGGAAGTTGCATGTCCCAGCATGGCTCACAAGCAGGCCAGTGAGTGAATGAGTCAGGCTATGGAGTCAGGGAGCAGGGTGCTGTGGCACCTGCATGCAGGCTTAGTCCCAAAGGTGCTTTTTCAAGAGGAAACTGGATTTTCTGGTTTTTCTTTAGAAGACGTTTCGCTTCTCATCCAAGAAGCTTCTTCAGCTCTGACAGGACGGTGGGGAATGGAAGGATTTATATTCCTTGAAGACCGCTGGTCATTGGCATCCTTTTAAAGGGTTGTTGAAGTACTTGGTGCTCACCCCAAAAGTCTGTAGAGATTCTCAGTCATCCAGGTCATGGTTGTCTTACATTATACAATTTGGGATGAACAACCTTTGAATGGTGTGGGAGTAGGAATGGATTTCCAGAGGAAAAACTGCAGACTACAGGAATCCAGGGGCACTACTCCGGTGACCCTGAGGATAACAGACAATCCTCCAAGTGCTTCAATAACCCTCTAAAAGGATGCAAATGACCAGTTGTCTGCGAGGAATATAAATCCTTCCATTCCCCACCATCCAGTCAGAGCTGAAGAAGCTTCTTAGATGAGAAGCGAAACGTCTTCAAAAGATAAACAAGAAAGCCCAGCTGCCTCCTAAAAAGAGCACCTTTGGGACAACCATGACCTGTGTAAAGCCCGAAATTGACATATGTGTAGCCATTTTATTTAGCCTTATTATATATTCCTTTTCTTTCTTTCTCTTTGCTGGTTATGGGGGGAAGGGTTCCGGGCTTGCCACATTCCTAAGGTAGGAGGAGTGGAGATAGAGTTATTTAGGCTAGGTGGTTCTTCTTCCTCTGGGAACAAGAGCTGACCATGCTGAGACCTGGAGGTGGAGATTGATGACAGCAGGAAACGTCGATTTTACTTCTACTAGGGAATGTGACTTTTGGGGGCTGTTTCTCACTTCCAATATTATGTGATGTAATTCCGGATTGTGTCAGAACCAGAATTACAACAGGCTTTGCCAATTAAGATGCTTTCCTAAATAAAAGAAAATGTTTTGGAAGATGGACTTTGTTCTTTTCTTTTTAAATGGATTTCATCACTTGGAAACCTGACATTATTCCGGATGACTGAGAGTCTCTACAGACATGCAGACTTAGGAGATACTGCTATCCAAATGCAACTGGGTGGGAGAAAGGGTGCTGTGGCATGAATATGAACTATTGGGATTCTGTACTCTGTAGCAGATCTGCATGAGAAAAAGCAGCAGCAAGTTTCAACCTTCCTTGCAGTCTTCCTCATTGACTTCGCTTGTGGGAAGGTCACAAATGGAGGTTTATGTGACTGCTGGTCACTGCAAATGTTGTAAGAGTGAGCTGGTTTCCAAGCTCTTGTATTGCATTCAAGTGACTCTGAGGATGCTGCAACAGCGAAAAGCGGTCATTAACAACCAATTGTCCAGTGCCATCACAATGACGGTCACTGAAAAAGTGGCCATTAACTCAAGAAAAAGTGGTCAAATATTAGCCCCATAGCCCCATAGCATTATGAGGATCATCATCAAGTTCAAAAACTTTCTCAATTATCTGGCTGTAATGGACCAATCCAGGTTATTCCATATCCAAAAAGTATCAAACTTAAATCAACGAATGCATTTAGCGAGGGTTCTTGTAATCTTTTAGATGCTACTGTTCCAAACAGAAAAGAACACAAACAGTTCAGAAATGAACCATGGGAGTCCTTGGTGCTCTTTGAACTTGGGTTGTTTGTTTGCAAAGTCTGCAAACAAACAACCAAGCTCAAAGCACAGCAAGGACTCCACAGATGACACTGTCTTTGACTGAGTGTCTTAAATCTTGAAAGCACAATCTAGCTTGCAAGAGTTATCACTACAGCCTAGTGTTTTTCAGCCCCGGCAACTTAAAAATGGGTGACTTCAATTGACAGACCTGCAAGCAGGGGTGATATTCAGCCAGTTCTGACAGGTTCTGGAGAACCGGTAGCGGAAATTTTGAGTAGTTCAGAGAACCGGCAAATACCAGCTCTGACTGGCCCCACCCCCATCTATTCTCTGCCCTCCTGAGTCCCAGCTGATCCTCTGGGTCTTCTTTTGTTGCCCTGCATAGGAGAACAGAGCTGGAAAGCAGGTTAGTGGGATGGGGAGGGAATGGGATTTTGCAGTAACCTTCCCCTGCCATGCCCACCAAGCCACGCCCACAGAACCGGTAGTAAAAAAAATGTGAATACCACCACTGCCTGAAAGCAAATGGTCCCTAAAAAAGCTGCTGCTAAACATGGACTATCTGTACTTTTATTTCTACTAGCTGTGAATTGTAAACGTTCTTTCCTTCATTGCAATGTAGGCCTTTTAACAGATAGGAACATGCATGAATTAGAATTATGAAGAAGTTGACCTTGGATTCAAAGGTAAAAGGTGTAATGGAATGCACTGGGTAAACCTGTCTGCCAGTCCTAAGGCAACTCACTCCAGCAATTGAGGCAGAGGGCGGGGGACAAGTGAGACGTTTCAAAGTGTAATTATTCACATTACATTACAGCAAAGATAATTATGATAAATTTGCTTTTTTTTTTTAAAGGAACAGATCCCAATTAATGTTACCGTTTTATATTCCATGAGTTCCAACTGCAATCGAGTTATCTCACTTCGCAGAGCATTGATCTGCTGACTGGCCCTGTCCTGATTAACCATCACCTTATTCTTGATATTTCTTGCTCGGTTTGCATACTTTAAGGTGTTCAGCGTTTCCATGAAGTCTCTGTCTGAAGGGCTTACACAAGCTATCATGACTGTTTGGCTGGAGGTAAAGAAAAAGCTGCTATTCATCATTTGGAAACAACTGTTAAAAGTAATTAAAACATATTGCTTGCCAAGCATTAATAAACAAAAAGCTTAATTACAAGACCTTGATAGAAGAGACCAAATCTTGACAGAAATCTCTTGGCATTTTGTAACTAGGCTACCATACAAAGTGATAATAATTACAATTATATATTCTCAGATTTGATGGCAAATTAGGAATAACACATTCACAATTTCTCTGCAATTGATCCTGTAAGTTTAGGTTTCATATATAAACAAAATCATGAATGCATTTTCTCAACAAAATGTAAAAAGTATCAGAGTTGCCAAAAGCCATTTTGGCTGAAAAGTGTAGAATTTCTGGAGAATTCCCTTCTCCATTTTTTTTAATTTGTTGGTCTTTTAAAAAGCATGTGAAAAAGGCAAAATAACCAATAAAAATGCACATGCAGAGATACAGTACTCATAAAAACACAATTATCAGCTAGATAGCTTCAAAGCTAGAATCTTCAATATTACATTCACTCCAAGTATTTCAAAGGTAATTTTTTTGCAAGAAACGTAGAGCACAGAACATAGAATAATAGAATTGGAATGGATCTTAGAGGTCTTTTAAGTCCAACCCACTGCTCATGCAGCAGTCCCTGTATCATTCCAGACAAATAGTTCAGTCTCTTCTGAAAACTTCCAGTGATTGTGCACCACAACTCCAGGAAATAAGCCTTTCCTCTGACTAAATGTTCTCATTGTCAGGAAATTTTTCCTTAGTTCTAGGTTGGATCTCTCTCCAATGTTTTTCCATCCGTTTCTTCTTGTCCTTACCTCTGGGGCATTAGAGTCTCCAACATTTTTGGCTCCATGGACTGGCAGGGAAAGGGGATGGTTTCATATGTGCTACCTAATCTCACACATACACAAATAAAGCTTTGTGTGCTTGCCTGCTGCTTGCGTGGCCAAGTTCCCAATGGGCCATGGACTGGTACCGGTGCACAGACCAGGGGGTAGACATCCCTTCTTTAGAGAATAGGTCAACCCCCTCTTTCTTTATGACAGCCCTCAAGTACTAGAAGACAGTTCTCATGTGCCCCTAGTCTTTCTCTTTGTTAGACTAGACATACCTAGTTCCCTCAAGAGTTCACTGTATAGTTTACATTCCAGATCCCTTATCACATTTGTAGCTCTTCTCTACCCTCTCTTTCTAGGGTTGTAATATGCTTTTGGTATCATGGCGACCAGAACTGCAGTATTCCAAGTGTGGTCTCACTAGTGCAGCACAATCACATGATCTTGAAACTATTGACGCAACATTGGACTAGCGTTAGCTTTTTTTTACACCAGCAGCACACTACTGGTTCACATTTAAGTGGTCCAGGACGCCTAGATCTATCTGACTTTTGCTACTGTTGAGCAGCTACCGCATATTCTGTACCTGTACATTTGGTTTTTCCTGCCAATGTGTAAGGCCTTATGTTTCTCACCACTGAACTGCATTTTGTTAGATGGGACCCAGTGTTCAAGTCTGTCAAGATCCTTCTGAATCTTGAGCGTATCTTCTAAAGTGTTGGCTATTCCCCACAGCTTGGTGTCAGCTGCAAATTTGATGAGTTCTTCTAAACTCTCATCTAGGTCATTTAGGAGGATGTTGAAGAGTACAGGGCCCAAGACAGAACCTTCAGGTACCCCACTGCATGCTTCCCTCCATGTAGATGTAAGTCTATTGAGGACTACTATGCATGTTGATTGCTGTTGAGCAGCAGGGAGAACAATATTATATTAAAATCAAATAACCAATGGTGAGATTATTTTGCATGTGATAACATGTAATTATTAAATGTTAACTTAAATGCAGATTACTAATTACTGAAAATTCACATTGATAATTATATGTGAAAATTAATATCTTGTGTCTTTAGTCACCACAATATGACTCAAACTATTTGTTTTTCTTTCTTATATTTCCTCTTGCTATTATAACACTAAAAAAAATACAATTAGGAGAATGGTCAGAAGGGACTTTTTCCATGGGCTGAAATAAAAAGTGGGATGGTTGAACCCTGAGAACAGTAATAGAAAACAAGGTATTGTAAGGGATCGAGACAGACAAACCTCAATGTCTTTCTGGTGCTACTTTAGTTTACAAACATAATGGAATTAAACATTAGGCATCTGTTTATCTATCTACCTTTGTCCATCTTAAATAAAAATGCTAAGGTATTTATAACGTAATAACATAACATAAAATTTATAACATAAACTCCATCCAATCACTGTAAATCTAGGTAGTTTTCTTTCATCTGGATTTCTTTTCTTCTTCAAAAGAAAAACATCACTTGAACTCTTAAACTGAACCTAATCAATATTATTTTGTCTGATTCAAACCGATATCTTAGAATTTGAAACAGCTGGTTTTAACAAACTCAGAGAAAGCTTGGGAAGGATTCCATGGATGAAAATCTTAAAGTGGAAATCGGCTCAAGAAGCTTGGGAAACTCTGAAAAATAGGATTATAGAAGCCCACTCCAGTTTAATACATTGAATTTCATTTTGTTACTAGGGCCCAGTGTTCAAGTCCGTCAGAATCTTTTTGGATTTTGAGCTTGTCTTCTGGGGTGTTGGCTTAATGCTAGTAACTGTGAGAGGGATCTTGAAATCCTACTGGACAGTCACTTAAATATGAACCAACAGTGTGAGGCAGAAACCAAAAAAGCCAATGCAATCCTAGGCTGCATTAACAAAGGGACAGAATCAAGATCACATGAAGCTCTAGAATCGCTTCACAAAGCCTTGGTAAGACCATACTTGGAATACTGCATCCAGTTCTGGTCACCACAATATTAAAAAGATGTTGTGATTCTGAAAAAAAAGAGTGCAAAGAAGAGCAACAAGAATGATTAGGGGGTTGGAGGCTAAAACATTACAAAGAACAGTTACAGGAATTGGGTATCTCTAGTCTAATGAAAAGAAAGACTGGGGAGACATTATAACAGCGTTCCAATGTTTGAGGGGCTCCTACAAAGACAAGGGGGTCAACCTATTTTCCAAAGCACCAAAATGCAAGACAAGAAACAATGGATGGAAACCAACCAAGGAGAGAAGGAACCTAGAACTAAGCGGAACATTCCTAACGGTGAGAGCAACCAACCAATGGAATAGCTTGGTTGTGTTATAGAAGCTGTGGATGCTACATCACTGGAAGCTTTCAAAAAGAGACTGGACAATCGTGTGTCTGAAATGGCATAGTGTCTCCTGCTTGAGCAGGAGATTCGACTAGAAGACCTCCAAGGTCCCTTCTTCAAACTCTATTGTTCTATGTTGATTGGGAGATGTAAATTTTTTAAAGAAAATAATTTATTCGTACTTTATAAAGCCAGTTTTATTTCTGCTTATTCTTAAAAATAAATGGCTAATATAATGTATCATTTACAAGGTCATAAAAAGTATTCTGCCATTTAATATTTTACATTTGTTTAAAGTACAAAAAATATTCAAATGCAGATATACAACATCTATCCATCCGGGCTTATTAGTCAAAACAACATCAAATCAATCAAAGTTTTTCATTCTTCCTTTCAAACAAGATTTATTTAATTGAATACTTGCTCATACCTATTCCCTCCAAGAGAATCTTGCAATAGTCGTGTTAATTTCGAATCTCTGTATGGTACATGAGTCACCTTCTTACTCTTATCTCCCAGCGCACTTATTACATTGCCCAATGCCAGCTGAAAATATAAAAATCTCATTGGTCAAAACAACAACAACCTTCACAAACACGGAAGCACAAATGAAATCAAAACATCGCTACCAAAAATCAAATAGCTCAAGAGCTGTGTGGCACAATCTGTGGGGAAAACATCTCTTCCCATACACAACAGCTCTGCCAATTTCAGGGCAGTCTATTTTTTTAATAGGCAGGAAGCTTTCTGTGAGTTGAATACCTTAAATTTCAGCTGATAGTGCATTATGTTTACAGACCTTTAAAGGAGAAAGGCAGCACGACAAATTGACAAGGTCCTTCAAATGAAACCTTTCAGGTTTTTTGGGGAGTACGAAATAGCAATAGCACTTAGGTCTGAATATCTCTTCTCACAGTGTTTTACAGCCCTCTCTAAGCGGTTTACAGAGTCAGCATATTGCCCCCAACAATTTGGGTCCTCATTTTACCAAAAGGATGGAAGGCTGAGTCAACCTTGAGCTGGTGAGAATTGAACTCTGGCAGTGAGCAGTGAATTAGCCTGCCATACCGCATTCTAACCACTGCGCCATCATGGCTCTAAGTTCTAGACCTGCTGTTCTGACCCAGCTCCCCAAATATGACAAACCCTCTGTATTTAAATCAATGATTCTTTTATTAGGAGCACCAGCAGCTCTGGCAAAAAGTTTATCTCTCAACACAGACTAACAAGTCTGCCCTGCAGAGAGATTAATAGTTGTCTGCCACACCTATTCAACTCCATACCCTGCCTTCTATCCCCAGAACTAGAGTTGGGCTTTGCTAGCAGCGGTGGCTCTTCTGTCCCAAGGAATGGCCCACAGATTTCCACTCCTCTCCTCTGCCTTCTGCGCATCCACAAGTCAAGCACTGGGCCCAGCTGTTCCTCCTCTTCCTCCTCAGCCATCTCTTATCTCACCTCATATCTCTCTCACAGCTCCCTTCCCTCTCCCCCCTCAGAGCACTCAGCTTGCCTTGACGCTGGACCCCGACTCCCACGCCTCCTCGTCTGATTTGGCTGCTGGAGGGGCTGGCAGCCAACAGGCCACAGCACCTGCCTTAGGCATGAAAGCCAGCTGGGTGACTTTATCAAAAAAAAAAAAAAAAGGCTCATCCTCTATATTAAATATTTCTGCATCACCTTATGTGGGTGTGATTACTGACAAGGTACAACAGAAATTTAAACTTACAAGTCCACAATTGATAGATATTCCTTCTTTGGCTCGTTCTCCAGTTGCCCCTGTACGTTTTAATCGTTCCGATCCTGCCAGGTCCACAAAATGAAACTTAGCGGTAAGAGTTTCAAACTCATTCAGCTGAGAGGACTCCATTATCATTCTGTTGTCTGTCATGTTGTCCTACAATAAGCAACAGAAACAAAAAATATTTATACTGTGGAAAAAAAAAGAATTACATCAAATAATAGTAAAACCACACTGCACAAAATACCAACAGACACCACGTCAGTAAACATCATTTCTTTTTAATCACAGATTTCTGCATTTGGCTTTCTTTGTGATAATCTTTAAGACCACAAAAGACAAAAAGCAGCTGAAAAACTGTTTTTGGACTATTTCAAATTACCCAGACATGGGATTTGTCAGAGGTAAGATCATAGTATGATAGGGCTGAAAGGGACCTTGAAGGTCGTCTAGTCCAACCCTTACTCAAGGCAGGAGACCTTATACCATTCTGGACAATGGTTGTTCAGTCTGTTCTTGAAAACCTCCAGCGATGGAGCAGCCATCCAGAAGGCAAACTGTTTCATCGGTTAATTATTCTCACTGTGGGGAAATTCCTCCTTAATTCCAGGTTGGATCTCTCTTTAACAAGCTTCCACCACCCATTGCTTCTTGTCCTGCCCTCAGGTGCTTTGAAAAACAGGTCAATCCCTTCTTCTCTGTCACTACCCCACAAGTACTGGAAGAGAGCTATCATGAAATAGGCTACACATACCTAGTTTCCTTAACCAATCATCACATAATTTAGTCTGTAGACCCCAGTATCACTGTTTTACTTCATTTATATTTCCTAGTTATAAACCTTCCACCTCCCTCAGAGTGCTCCCTTTTTGCTCTTCTCTACACTCTTTCTAGAGGCTCAGCATCCTTTTTGTATTGTGGTGAGCAGAACGGGACAGTGATTTGCTGCGTATAAACTGCCCTTGACTGGAAGAAAAGAAATAAAAATGTTTCATCTTGTTTTTTTTATTATTATTGTAAGCTGCCTAGAGCCACCTCTATATGAAATGGGAAGTTTAGTAAATAAAATAATTCCAAGCGTGTTCTTATTAAATACCGTATTTTTCCATGTATAAGACGACGTATTTTCTTTAAAATATTTATCTAAAAATGGAGGGGCATCTTATGCACGGGGGGGGACTGAAAGGAGAACCGCAGTTGTGAGACTGTCGATAACTTATCTATGCAAACTAGCCTCACAAGCAAAACTTCCGATTGCAGAGGCAAGCTAACAGATTTCCTCCAATCATGAGCTTTATGTAACTGATGTCAGCTGATGCTGCGGAGAGCATGTAGCCAGTGCCCACATGCGACAGGGAGTGGTAATGTCGGGGCGTTCTGAGCCCATAAAAATGTCAGAAAACAAAAAAATAAATACTGGTTACCGGTAAGCAAATGTCTTACTCTGCAAAATAAGTGCCTTCTATTTAATGTTTAAAATATCGATTTTTGAATTTTGGGTAAGAAAAGTGGGTGGGGGGGGCGTCCTATACATGGGGGTGTCTTATAGGCGGAAAAATATGGTATATGCTATAAGATTTATACAGCTGCACGATATTTCCAGTATACTAGGTTCATGTAATGACCTCTGAGAGCCAAAGACATTACAAACACCACATAACTCTCTTATTCATTAAATTTGGATGCAAAGATATCCCCAGAGGAAAGACTCCACCACTTCCTTAGATACCTACAGCATCAAGTGGTGGACAAACTCTAGTCTGGCATAAATGGATGGTGAAGATGGCATGTGAACGTGAGCTCTGGACATTCATCTGTGTGCTGGCAGTAGTTCGAGATAAAGCCCCCAACTTCAAGCACTGCATCATCTGTACAAACGGGCAGGAAAAGAGTAACTGATTAACATTTTTAAAGGTATATGCACCCATCAGAACCAATTAGGTGTAACAATGTGGAATTGTTAAAAACCTACTGCTTTTATATTGATTTTTCCTGATTCCTTAGGAATAATGTTTTTAATTGTGCATGCTTCCAAACCATTGCTACCCTCCATAATCTGCTAAAGCAGGGCTGTCAAACTTGCGGCCTGCCAGCCAGATGCATCACACACTGACCATGCGCACACCCGTTTTAGCAAAGGGGAAAAAAAAGTCCTGACATGTCACGTGACGACACAAGTTTGACATCCCTGTGCTAAAGCAAACCTTAGATAACTCCTTGAAATAATGTAATAGAAATTGCTGTAACCTATTCACCTGCTTCCATCCCATTCCCAAACTTACAGAAGGTCTGTGCCAGCAGAGTATAACGCGACCTTTTCTATGTTCTCAGTGGATATCTACAGAACCGTATAATTAATTATCAAGCATATATAAAGGAAGCTCCCCCCCCCCGATGAATCAGAGAACATACTGGATTCAGCTAAATCTCAGGAGCGCAAAATTAGATCAGCTTCCAGTGAATAGAAGGCTACCTTATGTTGTTATAGTAACTCCAAGTATGCTAACAATGTCCCCTTGTAGCGCCTCTCTCTCTCTCTCTCTCTCTCTCTGTGTTCCCTGTAACTGTGCTTTGAATATTTAATGTAACTTCAGTAACAGCCTGGGAAACAGGAAAACAAAAAAAGAGCTAAAGCAAATATCTGCTAAAGTTCTCATATGCTCAAAAGAGATTGTCACAGCGAGCTATTATCGTATTTTACTTTGTCCTGCATTTCTCCATAGCAGCAGAAATGACAGAATGTGAGTTTGGTACTTCTTGAGTAAAGTCGGAAAAAGCTAATTAAAGTATCCAAAACAGAAGCGAGCAGACACTTGAAAAACACAGTATTACTAAGGCTGCTTTGGGCTGCAGACCAATATAACTAAGCGCTGAACTAGGACTAAAAGCTTTGAAACTCCTTGGTGACTTAAGCCAATTATAAACTTCTCACTCTAAAGTTAGCACACAAGGATAAAAATGAAAGCAATCTTGTGCGCTGACTTAATGTCCCGGAAGGAAAAATGAAATATAAATAATTAAAAGATTTTGGTTGTTTTCAAGAAATAGTGTTATTTTGCACACGGGCACCTCTGATTCTGCGTTCACGGTCCGTGTTGTGACTCCCACTGTATATATTCCACCTGATGAATCTTCATGGATTTTGATATTTGACTTTTTGTTCTTTGAATCAATATCACGTGTTGAATCAAACAGGTCAAGAACTTCTTCATTGTAAAGCTAAATTAACAGAGAAAAATGATGTTACCAAGAATGATGTTACTAAAAAAACTGCTTAACAGAATTCAACAGTTAAATAACAAAATGCATCATTCATAACATGCCTCCTAAGAGGTTTACCCTGTAAACTATAAGTAAGCCTAAGAAAAGTATTGCTTTTTATATTGAATTATATATTTATATTTAATTTGATTTGATTCAAAAGAACAGCAAGGCCTTATTGTTATGCAAGGGGAAAAAAATCCCCTTTAAGTTAAAGAAGAATAAGAAGGATTTAGAGAAAAGCTTTGAACTTCAATGACAAAAGTCTTGGTATCAAAACTATATAATCTAATAATCAAATTCTTCACAGTTCATTTTTTTATGAAGAGACAAGACAATAACAACAAAAATAAATTCTTCAAACTATAACTTAAATTTCAAAAAAATGTCACTAGAGGAAAAGTATGAGCCATGGTGGCACAGTGGTTAGAGTGCAGTACTGCAGGCTATTTCTGCTGACTGCTAGCTGCCTGCAATTTGGCAGTTCAAATCTCACCAGGCTCAAGATTGACTTAGCCTTCCATCCTTCCAAGGTGGGTAAAAGGAGGACCCAAATTGTTGGGGGCAATAGGCTGACTTTGTAAACCACTTAGAGAGGGCTGTAAAGCACTGTAAAGCGGTATATAAGTCTAAGTACTATTGCTATACTACTAAGTCTTTGGGAGATGCCTTCAAGTCTGTTGACCTCCAGGGGACTGCCTGGCAAAGTCCTTGCAGTTTTCTTGGCAAGATTTTGGAACTTGTTTGCCATTGCCTCTTTTAAGAGAAAAGGGAGAGTGACTGGCCCAAGGTCACTCAGGTGGCTTTGTGCCTAATGCAGGACTAGAACTCATGGTCTCCTGGTTTCTCCTGGAGCCTTAACCACTACATCAAACTATTCTCATAGTAGAAACAGAAATAAGTGTAAGAAGGCAGCAGATTTTAATTAAAATATTCAGCTTCCTCACCTAGATGCATTTTTTTCCAAATATCAGTCCAAGGTTACTAATTCTATTCAACATACAGAATTCTTTTCTGTAGGGAGTGAAGTAGGAATAGTTTCCATTATTAGTTTCTGCTCTTGGCATATTTATACCCAGTCGCTATTCTCAAAAGTGCAACTTAAGGTAATTTTCTAGCCTTTTGGAGACTGGGAATATAATTTTTATTTTGAATCTGTTCATTTTTATCTTTTAAGTTTTAGATTCCATGCTGTAATAAACGATCAATCTTTTTACCATCTGTTTAAAAGTGATCACTGTTATTTAGAGTAAGTAATAAAATAAAACAACAGTAAGAAAAAACAAAATTAAAAACTGCCCAGGTCGGCAGATTTGACAATATTCATCCATCCATGAAAGAAAACAACAAGTATTACAAAAGGAACAAGAGATTAAAAAAAGCTAAAAATGTAAAAGCAAAGAAAGAAAATACAAAGAAGCAGATTCTGATTTTCCTTACAGCATTTATAAATACAATTATAAATTTACCTCTTGCTCTATGGTTAATAAAGAAATGTATCATCCATGATGTCATATAAAATGGTTTATTTGCTAATCTGTTTATTTAGTGGTGTGAGTTCAATATATTTTAATTTAATATAGCTTTGCACCATCTTTTTATTTTAAAAGCTCACTTATTTTTAGTCTTTCTGTTAATTCCATAATGCTGCAAATGAATGGGATTTTATTTTTCTAAAATATGTTTATATTTACTTAATATTTTTCTATTATTTTAAATATTTTCAAATCTTATTTCTGGATTCCAGGCATTATTCTAATAATAATCATAAACATTTTAATTATCAACTGCAAATCTATATCAAAAACCAAAGAGAATGCAACAAAATGTTTTTATTTTGCCTATAGACTACCACTTTTTCTATAAAATATAATACCATTTAAATCTCAAAGCACTTATAAACCAAAATCAAAGAATCAAAAAGCCATTAATCTGTGCATTTACTTATCTTTACATTTCTCTAGATAATTAGCCAGAAAGTTTCAAGCCAATATTTTCAATTAAGAATATCAGATATGCACTAATACCAACTAATGTTCCATTAGATTGACATATAATTGTCAATCTTAACTTCTGGAATTGAAATTAGGTTTTTTTTTTCAACAGCAAAAGGTATGCATACTGTTTGTGTTTGTTTTGCTTGTATACATGTACATAGACATATATATATATATACACACACACACACAATCCAATTGCTACTCTGACCAAAAAAAGTGAGAATCTTATGTCTGAAGTTGTATAAGTTTAGGCAACTGTAATTTGAACATTCTGCATATCAATTCTGAACCCTATATTTAGAGGCATTTAAAAAAGGAAACACCCTTCAAAATTGCACATGTTCAAGACAAGATAAATCTTGTTTTATTTCTTTGGCATATAAAGAGAGAGGAGAAATCTTATTGATAAATACTGCAAAGGTTTTTCTTGACTTTAAATTATACTTCACTAATCTTCTATGTTTTATTGGGATGTGAAGTTTGGACACTACGTAGTTTGTGTTTACAGCAGCATAATTTTAGACTGTTCCATGATGCAGAGATTCCCAATATGAACCAAATGTCAATGCCCTTCTTATTTTCCCAACTAAAATAAATAAAAATATTAGTCTAATTTATTTCTTTACGCAGAAGGCAACAGGGAGCTCTGTGATAATGATTGCAAACAAATACTTAAATATCTATTCTATTATAAAGACTTACCTCTAAGAACTGAGCATTGACTTTAAATTCTGGAGGTGGAAGCCCCTGTTGAATAGCCACATGCTTTTTCTCTTCAATGCACTTGTACAGATATTTTACAGCTCGTGGTATAATACCCTGTTCCTCTTCCATTATATTGACATCAAATCCTGTGCCCATTGTATAAGTCTTACCAGCTCCTGTCTAAAGTTAAAAAGACTAAACATTATAATTATGAAGCAAAGCTGAGGCCAGAATTTCAATATCAAAAACATAAATGCTATTAAAAATTATGGAGGTTTTTTTATGTAAGTAACATAACTAATATATTTTATACATATGTAAACTTTGAGAAACTTTTTTCAAGATGCAGAAATGCAATCTAAATAGCTATGGGTTTTCAAGAAGCAAAAAAATGACAGATACACACACCCCCTCTCTCTCCCTCTCTCCACAGATAACCACAAAGTAACTTTACCTATGACTCCCAGACAACCTTGACTAGGACAAGAACTTGTCATTAAATGAGTTACCATGGGATTGATATAGTATTTCAGGAGAATTTAAATGAAAGTAGATTGTGAATATAGCAGAATGAAGCCATTCTAATTCAAACAGAGGAACTTGCATAATTAGGTACCGTATATCTCTTTCAAAATACTTGCCCCAATATTGCACATTGGTGTTGCATTACTATATATTTATCCATGTACACTTTCTGTATATTGTTAATTTCTTATAAGTTAAAATCTGTAATTCTCACCTCTGGCAAAATCTGAATGTGTTTGAATGTACCCCAATTTTCCCTTTTTAATGCAGAGAACGTTTTATCAGAAAATCACTCAATTCTTACCTGGCCATAAGCAAATACAGTAGCATTATATCCTTCAAAGCAGCCTTCAATCAATTTTTCTATGCAGTGTAAGTAGATGTCCTCTTGCTGAGATTCAATATCAAACACATAATCAAAAGTGAAGGCCTTATCTTTTCCTAGAAACACCTGAGGTTCACCAGGTGTGACCAATGTGCAGATGTGGCATCCTTCTATCTTCTCTTTGGCTAACTGAGGCCTGATTCTGTTTTTTGAGAGGAAAGATAACAACAAAAAAATACATCTGCATTAAAATACATTTTTTTAAAAAAACTTTTGTAATAGATTGTTTAAATGTCAAACTTGACACATGAATATTCATTGCTTCTTTCCACCAAATAAAAGGAAGCCTGGGACATTCTAAATTGATAATTACATTTCACAGGGGAGATGAAAGAAAAACAATGCTATGTTATGCAATGTAAAGCACTATAATATACAGTATAAGAAGGGCAATCATTATGACCTTTAAACAAATCTTTAAAAAAAATTATTAAGGAGTCTTAAGATATCTTCTTGTCAAGGAACACTGCAACTCTATTCATTCTCATTAAAATTCCACATGCAATCTTCTGGTACCATACATGCAGATAGTACAGCTCTAAGAGTCACTTATTATTTACTATTATTTATGTCAAAAAAGCCAAATGCAACTCCAGGCTGCATTAACAGAGGGATAGAATCAAGGCCATGTAAAGTGTTAGTACCGCTTTATAACGCCTTGATAAGACCACACTTGGAATATTGCATCTGGTTTTGGTCGCCACAACATAAAAAACTTGAGATTACGGAAAGAGTGCTGAAAAGAACAACGAAGATGATTAGGGGGCTGGAGGCTAAAAGATATGAAGAGTGGTTGCAGGAATTTGGTACGTTTAGTCTAGCGAAAAGAAGGACCAGGAGTAACATGATAGCAGTGTTCAAAATTTGAGGAGCTACCAAAGGAAGAATAGAATAGAATACCTTTATTGTCACTGCATTCTACAAATACAATGAAATTTGAAAGCTACTCCAGCACAGTGCCCCAAACACATCACAATCACACTATGGAGTATTTAAAAATTAAAATAATTAAAATAATAATAATTAAAAACCTAGTCTAAAACCTATCTGAAACATATAGTAAGATAGTTTTAAAATGCCACTATATACATAGGGCTAAATCACATATGCATTGTTTGATTCAAGACAATTATTGCCTTGGAAAATAAACTGTTTCTCAGTCTATTAGTCCTCATTTTAGGACAGGGTGAACCTATTTTCCAAAGCACCAGAAGGCAAGACAAGAACTAACAGATGGAAAATAATCAAGGACAGAACCAAACTAAAACCAAGGAGAAATTTTCTGACAGTGATAACAATTACCCAGCTTCCCTTCAGAGGTTTTGGGTTCTCCGTCACTGAAGGTTTTTAAGAAGAGATTGGGAAGCCATTCGTCCAGAATGGTATAGGGCCATGTTGGCGAACCTATGTCATGTGTGCCGGAAGTGACACGCAGAGCCATTTCCTCCGGGACGCAAGAGGTTGCCCGGAAGAGCCTCACTGTGCATGTGGGCGCATGCCGCCGCCCAACATCTGATTGTCGGGTATCTGGTGTGCATGCACAGGGGGCGGAGGGGGGTGCGCGGGAAACCCATGCACATGCGCTAAGATGCATGGCATATGAGGGGATTACATGCACATGCGCCAAGACACGCGGTGCATGAGGGGGGAATCGCATGTGCAGTGCATGAGGGGGAATCGCACGCACATGCGTAGACATACGGTGTGCAAGGGAGGCACGCACGCTTGCACAGGGCGTGTGGGGGGGCCAGCACACATTGCCTTCTGGGTGCTGGCATGTGAGCGCACGCAAGTGTGCACACGCGCAGTTATCGGCATTGGAGCCAAAAATAGTTAGCCACCACTGGTATAGGGTCTCCTGCTTGTGCAGGGGGTTGGACTAGAAGACCTCCAAGGTCCCTTCCAACTCTGTTATTTTGTTACTACGCTATTTTGGGTCTTGTAGGAAATGACCAAAATAGTCATCTTTGAGATATATGAATTATTTCTGAATCAGGAATTAGATATTTGAAACTTCAAGCAAGTATTTTTCTGTTAGTAAAAAAGATGCTATATAAATATGCTATGTTAACTTGAACAAAGCCAACTGATTGAAAGCTACAAACATCTCAATGGCAAAATAAACCTTACACTCCCTACATGACAAACCAAACCATAGTTGTAAGTAATGTATAATCATATTGCCAATTAATCCCTTTTAGGTTACTCAAGCAAAACAAAAATACAGAACCAAACTAAAACTAAGGAGAAATTTTCTGACAGTGATAACAATTACCCAGTGGAACAGCTTGCACTTGTCCCAAACATACATGAGGAAACTGCAAAAATCATTTATGTCAATTATTTCAAATCGCAAAACATACTGACAAAAAAAAACAAATTTAAATTATGGAAGCCAATATAAACATGAGGATAATCTTAAACTGCAAGTGGTTCTATTCTACGAATCTCTTCCATAAAAAATAGTCATGGTTTATACTACCACTAAGTTGGGAGTGTTTTCTTAAAAAACTGTTCTAAGAAAAATCCCATATCCTGTTACACAGCTACATATTTGGTGTGGTAGACACTTGTCATGTAGACAACAAAGTTCTGCTTCTGAAAGCAGAAGCTGTCTTTATTACACTCCTACCGTGCCCAAGGTAAATATAAGTTGACTTCTGACATCCCTCCTTTACTTAGAATAACATTCTGGCTATGAATAGTTACCACCACATTTAAGAAAGTTAACCCAGTCGTCACTTAGGTGCTATTTAAAATGTGACCTATTACTTTATTTGCTGTATGAACATGCCCTGCAAGTTTAAAACTTTACATTCTACTATATCCTAATATGTCATTCACGAAAATAATGTTTAAATGATCCAAGGGAGAGAAGGAGATATAAAAACGCAATGCTAAGTTTCAAACTGTGATATCTACCAATGTTATTTGTCTTGTTGAACTGTTAAAGAATATAATAAGAAATGGCCAATGGAAGCAAAATAATTCTGTGGTGTAGAGCAGGGGTCCCCAATCCCTGAGCTGCGGTCCACTTGCACGAGCCCACGCATGAAACTCCATCTGCACAAACGGCGGGCGCACACATCTATCACTTGTGCAAATGAACCTGTATGTACTGACAAGTTTTCCTGCCACTTGTACAAACATTCCCCTTTCCCCCCTCACCAGGCCCCCAAGCCGGAAAGGTTGGGGACCACTGGTGTAGAGATGATCACAAACTTTACTATTAAAAATTAATTTTTGAGGGAGGTGAAAAGCATTTTTTCTGAAACATTCAACCAAGTCTTATCCAATAAGTAGATATGTTATTTATTTATTTAATATATTTATTAATTTATATGTCACCCATGTTATTACCCAAGTGACTCTGGAATACAGAATAAGATAAAACATTAAAAATAACAGGGATTTTTAATCTCAACAACACAGTGATTTGCTAAGAATTGCAACGAAAAAGGTGATAAAATCCATCATCATTTAACTACATCACTTAGCAATGGAAGATCTGGTCCCAACTGTGGTCAAGGACTACATATATCTAGCAACCTGCACTGGACCACTGTGGTGGGTTTTAGTCTGACTTTTAGTGAACAAACTTCACCCTTGAGTGGATTTATTTGGGCTGATTATATAGAAAATGATAGTCTAATGCACAACAAAACTAATGATTTCAATAATTTAACCAATGGCTAGGCCATCTATTATACAACTATAATTTAAACAAAGGCAAGGAGGAGTCTAAGCTAAGAAAATAAAAAATTATAAACTAACTCTTCTAAATGGCAAATAAGAAAGAGATAAATAATGATGCTAATGTAATTTGATTAAGAAAAAAATATGGCTGTGAAATAATTGGATTTGTCTGGGAACAGTTCACATATGTTGCTCTGATGACTTTGGTTTAATAAGATTTATTCTCTTATTTTTGGATCTCTAACTGGGATGGTCTTTTCTTCCCATTAATTGAGTACACAAGGTTCTCTGGATGAATGTAGTATTCTCCTTTATAGTTTAAGTTCATTTATTTTGAATCTCAGATCTTCATTAGTAGACAGTTGCTAACATTACTTGAAAAATAATGAAACTTGATTTTCTATTATTGTTTCCCCGCATAATTCCTTGGCTATTTTATCCCAAGCCACCAGCACAATACAGATGGCATCCACTTAAGTCTGACAAGGTCTTTTGTTTGCTTGCCAGGGGGAAAAAAAAAAACAAGAAATGAGAAATTATGTGGCTTGGCTTTTAATTAAATAGATCTCTTTTTTTCAAAAAGCAACCCAACATTTTCTTTGAAACCACAAAATACATTAAATGCAAAGCTTGTGTAATATTTCTAGGTGAACATATCTTACTCTATTATCTAATTCTTTTATTTCTGCTTACATGAACGTATTTTATAATAAACATTAATATAACGCATAGACAGTTGTGTGTGTTTTTGCCCATCGAGCATGTTTTACGTTATTTCCCTTTTTAGTATCTGCAAGAATTATAGCAAGAAAACCACATACAAGTTTGGCCAACATCAACTCATGTCTCTCAATATTGCCTCTAGATTTCAGTACACATTAAATTAGGATTTTATTTATTTAGCTTATGGCATTAAATGGGAAATATCACTTCTACACAAACCCATTATTTCTGTTTGCTACTAGTGCTTTTTAAAATTTAAAAAGTGGTATTTTATCATACAGTAGAACCGGAATGGGAAATTCCAGTCACCCAGTTCTCTAGCATCCTTCACCATATAACTCCCACACAGGTGGGAGTTATAGTGCCAAATAGGGTGGCCTTCTGACTTTTTGCCCAATTTATCCTACCAAAATAAATTCTCCACCTTTGCCTTGCTTCAGGGCTCCTGTTTCATAACTTGAGGAATCTGAGTCACTTGAAAAACCTGTAGTAATACTTTCAGTGTTAACAGGAACATAAGAACTCATCACATCAGTTAATATTCAAGTTCGTGCATCAATCAATGAAGCTTGCCTGATAATTTAGAAATCTATGTCTCTTGTGTTTGGTCTTTAAAAAAAAACCCCACCTGATCTACCAGCCCCCTTTATCAGGTTCTTATGCAGGCTCTGTCAATCTAGGAGACCAGTTTAAAGATCCATTTTTTAAAAAAAAAACTCCTAG